CGTAGATGCTGGTAGTTATAGCCAGAAGCAACAATAAGCATGTGGATAATTGGCATTTTGCCAAATGTGAGAGAGCAAGAGAGTTGGATAAGAAATTACAGACATTTTTTAGGGACAGGAACGTGGCAAAGGAATGACTTTAAGTATAAATTTCTGTACAACGGGGGTGAATTCAAGAAATAAAGCAATACGCTTCATTTGTTACATTTACAGAGGCTGCAGTTATAAAGACGTACATTTTATCTTCATTTAGATTTTTCACTTATTTTTCTAATATTTATTAAGTCATATTTTGTGCCAGAACTATTCATTCAAAACTCTGTCCTGGATATAATTAATTTAAAAGGAACATTTATTTTTTAAAAAAATTAATGCTACTAATAGCTTGAAATAATCACTTAAATTTCCTCTGCATATATTCCAGCTCCCTTTCATTCAGTCAACACTGACCTTCAATTTACAGAATATATAATGAGCAGATATATTCACAAAGGTCTTACAATTATGAATAAAAGTACAGGAATAAAATTTCAGTGGCTGTAAACTTTTATAATTTTATTTGCTTAGAAAGGTAACATAGGACCAAAAAGAGGGTAGAAAGAAAATTTCAGTGCCTAAAATATCTTACTCATGGTTATTTGTTGAAATAAAATTTACTAAGTCTTTAAGTTGAGAAGTCATCCTAAAAATATCCTAACAACAAAGCTAACACTTTGAAAGCAAAGAAAAAGTACGTGACAAATTAGAGTGGTTTTCCCCCAAATGCTAACAACATGCACGTGAGCGAACCATAGTCATGACAAGTATGGTAAATATAAAATTCACCTGGAACTACAAATCTGGGTCAGAATGAAATGTTTAAAAAAAAAAAAAAAGGGCAATAGAATTGAGAAGGCAAAGTATAAGGAAAATCCTGCAGTTACTGAAGGTGTTATAAACTTATTAAGAATATTGCAATATTAAATCCAACAGAGCTGATGAAAGAGTCAGCCAATATTTTCCTTCCTGGCCAAAGGTGCCTGGGTGGCTCATTCAGTTAAGTGTCCAACTCTTGATTTCAGCTCACGTCATGATGTCAGGGTCCTGAGATGGAGCCCTGTCTTGGGCTCCCCATTGGGCGTGGAGTTTGCTTGAGATTCTCTCTCTCTCCCTTTGCTCCCCTCTCTTAAATATATATATATTTGTATTTCCTGAATTTTCATTTGGCTAGTCACCAAACCTAATAATTTGGTAGCAATGTAAGTACTATCTTTGGATGAAATAAAAGGTATAGGCAAGTAATACATCAATTTATTTTACTAAATATTCCAGTGTTTCAACAAAGTGTTTTTAAAACCAGGTTGTAATGTCTTACATTCTTCAGATACTTACTTAAGACCATTTTTAATATAAAATTAGTAATCATGGTAGGGGGAAATGTGGCTAAACATGCAGAAATATTGCACCTGCATTATGAATTTATATGCCACCAGGATAAATTATGTTAATATCAAGTGGCATTTGGAGAGCAACCCTAATTAATGTATGGTTTTATTTCGACTGATGTGTGAACATTCAGAACATAGCTAAACAAGGAGGTTGTTTTACTCCTTAAATCTTGTCTCACATGGCATCATTGCAAGATACTAACATTTCATTTCTAAATTAGATGATAAATTTAATTAAAACATGTTTGTTAACTTGTCTTTTACCTAGCAAATAATCTTTCTTTATTCAGTTTTTCGGTAATCTTTTTAGTTCACGTGATCTTCAGCCAACTGAATTTAAGTTAACTGAAATGAAAACTGTATCTAAAGTTAAGAAATGATAAGATGTTCTTTGATTTGCCAGCACATTTTTTTTCCTTTGGGGGCCTTGTTAGCTTTATGAGTATTGTTACAAATTCGAGTTTCTTTTCATGAAAGCGCATCTTAGGGTGAACAGGCACTCAACGGGAAGTGTGACCCACAATTAACAAAGAAACAAAGAAGGACTGTGGTCTGAAGATGGTCATCGTTTTGCTGGAGTCTTGTCCTAACCCATCAGCTGAGTACATGTGTGGCCATAAAATACCACAATAACGCATTCTTTCCCTGTTGGAGTAAGCTACGCCGAGCTTGCCAAATTCCAACTCAGGTAGCTCCGTTTTTCCAGCCCAAATTCCTGCTGTTTTTTCAACTGGGTGAATTATTCTTATTTCCTCTCTCTCAGAGTTGCTGGCTCACATAGGTTATCAGGTTTCCGTCTCAGCGGCTACTGGGTATCTACAGTGAGCGAATGATCCTTCAAAGGTACTTTGGGATGAAAGCTAGTGGATAAATGTGAAGAATTATATTTTTATTTCTTCTTTTTGGAGGGATTATTCCTATAACGTTTGTGTTTAGTTTGGAGGGCTCTTATGATTTGATTTCTCTTCTGAATGCGCAAAACAGCCACCCAGATGGCAAGCACTTCACATTTCAGCACAGTGTAATTTGATTTGGAAGTTCAATGAAACTCACTTGGAAATGTCCCTCCAGTAATATTTCCCCTCTTAAAAAATTCAGTTTTAAGTTCCTGGTTTCATGCATAAATAAGCTCCAGGGAGGCTTAGTGGTGAGTGGCAGGGTGACTAAAGGAATTGTTTAAACCATTTAAATGAAATGTTAAAATTAAATGGTGTGCTAATCTTCTTAGGATTTCACTATAAAAGGAGTGTTTACTCTGTAATTTTCCACTTTCAATATCACTTGTAATATTCTTATGCATAATATCCCAAAATTTGTTTTTTGCTTGTTTAGGAATATTGAGTCTATTCGGTGAATATTTATAGGAGGCCTATTCTGTGCAAGATGTATGGTAAAAGAAATGATAAGAAAATCTCTTCCAAACATATTCAAATTTTAAATTTGTGAAGTTACCCCCCAAAAGCACTAAAAGCATTAGAAAAAATTATCTATCAAATGCATGGATTTTAATGCATACACTGCCATTTCTAACATTTATGGATCTGGCATTCATTCAAAGTGTCCCTCCTAAGATTTGGTTCCTACTGAAGTTTAAACTTAGGCCATCTTATTTTCATATTTAAAGTCTCCCTTCAGGGTGCCTGGGTGGCTCAGTTGTAAAGTGTCTGCCTTTGGCTCGCGTCATGATCTCAGGGTCCTGGGATGGAGCCCAGCATCGGGCTCCCTGCTCATCGGGGAACCTGCTTCTCCCTCTCCCACTCCCCCCCTGCTTGTGTTCCCTCTCTCACTGTGTCTCTGTCAAATAAATAAATAAATTCTTTTAAAATAAATAAATAAACGAATGAATGAATGAATGAAGCCTCCCTTCCTTATAATCTGTTTATCACACACACACACACACAAAGTTAGAGGAACACTAACTATCTTAAAATACTATTTTTCTTTAAAATATTATACTTTTTAAGAATATTACATCTCTTTATGCAAGTTCCGGAAGAACTTAATTACTAAGTGAAATCTCATTTTAGAGCCTTTTCAAATTATGGGGCTGAAGCAAATCAATCTTTCCCTATTAATTAGAGCTATCAGAAGATCTTTGCTCTACAGATATACAGTTGACCCCTGAACACCAAGGAAGTTGGGAGCGCTGACCTTGCAGTTGAAAATTTGAATAAGACCTTGTGACTCCCCAAACACTTAACTACTAATTGACCAGAAGCCTTAATGGATAACCTAAGAATTGGTTTAACACACAGTTTGCATGTTTTATGTATTATCTACTGTATTCTTAAACTACAAAAAAGAAAATGTTAAGAAAATCGTAAGGAAGAAAAGATACATTTACAGTACTGCACTGTATTTACAAAAAAAAAGAATTGCATATTTCTGGACCCATTAAGTTCAAACCTATGTTGTTCAAGGGTCCACTATATATAAAAAGAAGCTTTACTTACATGGACTTAAGTGCCATGACTGCGATGGGGAAGTAGAGAGAGTGGGATGCAAGTCCCCATCAAAATGAACTGTCTGGATGAGTTCAGGGACTATATAATTTCTAGAATACACAGGAATATCTGTATCAACTCAAAATCAAGCATATGGTATTCTGATTACTCCTCAGTGGGGAGTTTTAAGTGTTAACCCCTTCTTTAGGATAGCAAGTCCCCACATGTTATTTTACACTTTCCCATTTTCTGCCAATAGGAGGACCTAATATTAGCCTATAACTCTTAAGTGTTACAAATGTGATAATAGAAATCCGTACATCTGTACAATACTTATATCAGAACCTCGCAACCCTGGGAAAAAAGGATTCCTCATAGCACCTAGTTAGGTGTCGGGGAGAGCTCTCTTCAGCTTTATACTTGGGAACTCATCCATCTGTACCATCACAGTGCTGGAGTACTTTGCCAAGTATGCCATTTTTAAACCCAGAGAATATAAACGAGAAAGAAAAATAACTTCATTGTGTCTTAAGTGAGGTACTCAAGTACCTCCTCTAATTAAATGGAGTCAAATAGAAATCTAGATCAGACATGCCAACTTACTGTATTATTTCAATGTGGACATTTAATGGAATTTTGAACTGGTCAACCTCTATAGTTAACATTCTAGATTAACAGGAGTTTAGAAAAATAACGTTAACTTTCTCAATTGAGACGGCCTTCTGATGAATTCTACTGATACAGAGAAAGGCACCAAGAAGAGAATATTAAAAGTTTCCCTAAAGTCACAGAGTAATTGAAACACTAGTTCAATTTCTCTGGCCAGGTTTTTATAAAGTCTTCCTCTAACTGCATTTTTTGAACAATAAACAGAATACAAGATGTTTTATATCAGATATTAAGTAACAATTTGTGTTTTCAGAAGGAGACACACATACTTGACAGTAGCTGCACTTATCTTAGAGTCAAATTGGTTCAATTTAGCATGACTTGAAATCTAATATCATTGCCCTCCACACCGGTAAATAAATATGACTCATCTACACCTGTAAAGAAACACCAGAAGAACCTAACCAAAGTTTCAGAACCGATATGGCGACCAACTGATGTCTGTGGCAACAATAATTACCAACTAAGGTGGAGGTGAAGGAGGAGCTGGCATCAGAAGGACATCTGCCCCTTCCTCTTTCGGACCTGTGCAGCTCCAGATGAAACAGGGGGCCCTTGGAAAAAACAAACAAACAAACAAACCAGAAAAGCCATTACGTATTTGCCAACTTTAGTAAGAATCTAATTGCTCAGATAAAATAGACAAAAACCTGACCTTTTGCAAAGCAGGTACTGGAAACAGTGTACCAGTGAGTATCATCAAGTAACTTAGGACCAAACTGGGTTTTGTAAATAAATGTATGGGTTTTCAGACCCATATGGGTTTTCTCACTCCTCCCAAGAAGTATGCAGGTGATGAAATGAAAGATGTTAGCAGTTTTTTATCATGTGAGTGGACAGTACTGGTTATTCTGAGAGGTGTCTGGGAAATATTCCAAAGGAACGAAAACACGCTAAAAAAAGGTTACTAAAAGGGAGGTTTAGTGATAAATATAGAAATGGGCTGTTTTCACAAAGGCCACTAGTGATTTCTTTGGAGGGTCTGCAAAAGAAACTGAGAGAATTTTCTATCAATATGGATTTATTTCCAATCACGTTTATTATTCATCACATGTTCTTGTATAGACATTTAATAATTTAGAGAATGATGGCTGCATAAACAATTACTTGAATATAAATGTATAAATAAATGTCACATCATGAGCAATATTTCACACTCGTGTCACATAAATGAGAGCTTGAAAGTATTTCTATGAAAAACTACTTCATTGGTTCCTATTGCAAGCACATAACCACAGAAATTTTCTCTGAATATTCTCAGATTTCAAAATTCTCACTAATATATTTTTATAATTATTATTCATTAAGTGTGCTTAAATGGTTTGGGTAAAAGAAAGTAGTTTGGAAAAGCGGCAATAAGAATCAATACTGAAAATTTTGTAGGAAAACAACTACTCTGTAACAGACTATTGCTGATACTGCCCACTGGTGTCTCTCAATAGCCCTGCCCATCTGTGAACCATGAACCTCAAAACAATCCTAAAGTCTCGAGTAACCTCTGAGAGTTGCAGCCACTTTTCTCAAACTTGAATTTGACTTTCTTAGCCACCCTCCTTACTCCCCATTATGTGTTCTGTCCTGATCTGGCCATTCTTATTTGACATACTTTTCTTTCTCTCTTTGATACTCTAAAATCACCATTCTGATCCTGCTATTCCAAAACCTGACCCCGATAACCCTCCGGTCTTATCCTTGGAATTGAACCACAGCCTAGGAAACAAATGGAGGCTCCTGACCCAGAGGTGACTAAAAGCCACAAAACTTTTTTGAAGCCCCCAATTTTTTTTTCCTACTTATACACTTCACACAGATCAGTAGAGAACAAGAATACCCATAAATAATTGGAGACATTTTTGTGTTCGCTCCTCAGAGATGACAAATTTGCAATGACATGAGAAAAAAAAAGTTTGTTCAAATGAGACAGAATTATTGGTCTCCCCAACTAATACCTGTGAAGGGTCTGCATCTCAGTTTGGAAAACTGACCCACAGCATTATGAGAAGGAGAAAGTGACCAAGTATGTGAATGTAATACTTGTTTGACCCTTAAGTCACTGCCACTTTAGAGATTACTTGAAAAAAGCTGGTAGGACATACATTTTATATTTGTTCTAATCCAGCCAAATGTCCAAATATTTGGTCATAGGAAGCTGTTAAAGAGAGACACTGAACTGCTCTCCTAAATCAAGACTTTCTACAGCTTCAAAATTCTGATACTCAACTTTTTATCACGAATGACAGATAAAGGTGATTTACCTAATGGGTAAAATTAGATACCTTCAACACTAAAATTGAAACTGCAAGTGAAAAACAAGGGTGTTGCTTATTTATTTGAATCAGTGCAATATATTAAGTTTAAACTGTCAAGTAGATGAAACAGAAAATGCAAACTAAGAATTTTAAGATCAAGAGAATCTCAGACTTCGAAGGACTGTAGTTAGGAGAATGAAGTCACAATTTCTCAGAAAAGTCACAGGTTTTCAAAAGTATAAATCATAATCTAGTCTCCAGAGGCTGTTGATTGGTGAATTTCAGCACAGGTCTGAGGTATAAATTATCTGACATATGAGTGTCTTCAACTTTCAAGAGAAGTTGATTGAATCAACAGAATCCTATATTCAAAAAGACGCCTATGACCCTAACATTTTGAAAACAATGAAGTGGAACCAAGAATCAGGTGAAATTTTGAGTTAATGTATGAGGCCCAATTCTGTGTAGTAGGTACATCTAGCCGAGTCTGTAAAAGGACATCCTCTTACAAAACCTCAAATTTAACCCTGAGAATAAATGAGTGCCAGACACTCAAATATTCTGAGATCTATGCCTCCTGTCCAAACTCACATGTACCTTAACTGAACCCTTTCACTATTATGCAGAAGACTCCAAATATCTATCTCATTTATTTGATTAATGGCTAAAGCTACCTCGACAGAGTCATTTTAAAATAATAAAAGAGTTAAACTTTTTGCCCGCTTTTTACATCACTGTTAAAAATCCGTATTTTTGAATAAAGGAATAAAGGACAGACTAGCATTTTAATTTTTAAAAATGCATGGGTTGGGGCACCTGGGTGGCTCAGTCAGTTAAGCGTGTGCCTTTGGCTCAGGTTATGATCCTAGGGTCCTGGGATCGGGCCCCCCATCAGGCCCGGAGCCTGCTTCTCCTTCTCCCTCTGCTGTTCCCCCAGCTTGTGCTGTCAAATAAATAACATCTTTAAAAAAATAAAATAAAAATGCATGTGCTCTTCAGTTTCTAATTGTGTACCCAATACTGAATAAAAAGAAAAAAAAAAAAAGATAAACTACTAAAACACCCCTGCTTTAGAGAAGCACCATTATCTTCATGCACAAAGAGAAGAAAGGTCCCTATCTTTAGAGGAGATAGTCATTTCATCCATAGCACTTGGTTAATAATACTCCAGGATTCAAATAATACAAAGAAAAAAAAAAAGACAATGACCAATTGGATTATACAGTGTGGTACTTCTTAAATTTGACAACTACTGGAATGTGTATTTTGAAGACTATAATATTTATAACAAAATAATGAAGAGGTGCTTAGAACCCTTGAAAGTTCTGGAAGTGCTCTCACAGACTGGGTGCCAGCGGTTATGAGCTACTTGCAGCTTTCTGAAGATCTTTTTTTCTTTTTTTTTTTTTTTAGATTTTACTTATTTATTTGACAGAGAGAGACACAGCAAGAGAGGGAACACAAGCAGGGGGAGTGAGAGAGGGAGAAGCAGGCCTCCTGCTGAGCAGGGAGCTCAATGCGGGGCTCCATCCCAGGACTCCGGGACCATGACCTGAGCCAAAGGCAGATGCTTAACGACTGGGCCACCCAGGTGCCCCTTTCTGAAGATCTCTTACTTGGGCTCATCTATGTGTTCAGGATAATAATGCCCATACAATATTAAAAATTCAGCAGGGACTCTAGCACCCCAGGAATCCTGATCTGACCTCTCTGTCTGCCCTAGAATCTCCTCCTTTCCCTTTTGGTGTCCTAGCAAGCATCATATGAATCCCTCTTTCGTATCATTTACTTTTCTGTGTTATAATTGTCTGTTTGACTCTCCTTCCTACTAGTTTTGTAGGGTTTTCTCAAGGAAACTGCCCATGTGATGTTAATCTCTGATCCCCTCTATCAAATAAAGTACCTGGCACATAATAAATGCACAACTGTGTGTGATGTTTGAAAAAATACTACCTTTCTAGAAACAATTTTTTTTCTTTTTGCCTTTGCTTATTTTCCTTTGTATCTAAAAGAATTCACAGACTGCTGTAGACAAGTGTGCTGATTTGAAACTAGACAATATATATAAATCGTGCATGCTGAGGGCTGCTCATAAAGCGACATCATGGTCTTATTGTTTTTCTATACTTTGATTGCCATTGGCTTTAGTAAAACTATTACACTGTTAAAACTACAGGAAGAACAGATGTTAATTTCCCCGAGCTATTTAATGAAGATAATATATTTTTATATATACTATTACAATTTATAAGGGATTCTTACCAGGATTAATACATTAAGGGTTAGGATAAAATGAATACTCCCTGTCATTTATTAAAAATAAAATCAAATAGTGAAGAATGATAGTGGTGTTTGTTTTATCCCCAATGACCTTATTAATGATAGTATGTAATCTGAAGTAATACAGAGGTGTGACATGGAGGTACAATCATTTATTAGTTAGTATTTCTCCATATGACTGATTTTTTTTTAAATGAGTATAAGATATTCTTTTGATACTGTGGTGTATGGTCATGAAACTTCAATACTGAGCTAAGAGTAAAGACTGAGTTCCTAATTCTTATCAAACAACTAACTTGACAGCAGTTTTTAATAATTTACCTGATCTTTCGTTTCATGATTTTAGAGCGAAGGCTTTCTTTACCCTGTTAAAGCTACATATGAAAGAAAGACACACTGGTTTGATTCATCGTAATTCCTCAGGACTCAATATATTATTTTTGCAACTTCATACAGCAGAGATGTGGAAATTGTTGAGAAGAGGTACAAAGAAAAATTTTATCTTAGACTGGATAATACTGATAACGGAAAACAGGCAAATTCCAAACGTCTGTTGCTTTGTTCTGCACAAGACCAAGCTGACTTCAAAATTAACTATAAATTCAAGAATGACGTTTCTCACATTGCGAGTTCATTGTGATATAAAATGCAGTGTTTAATTTAGTGCACAATCCAATAAAATACTAAAAAGCGAGTTACAGCCTTTTCTTCCATGAAGTGGAATTCAGCCACCAAACCAACCAGAAAACTGGAGGCATGATGACATATTGTCAATGACCCCAAAGCAATTGCGCTTATGGTTCAAGTAATATGTAATGTTGGTGTTTAACCTTATTGAGAATGTTGGTCAGTACTTACACTGGCTTTCCATTATCTGTGTTTTAACGGCTGGAATTTCTGTCTGGGTAATATGGCCTAAATTTACAAGACATCACTAGCATTAGCAGTGTGGGTTACACTTTTGGTTTCAGTGTGGTATGAACAAGGTTTTCAATAGGCTCCCCTGTGCTTGAGAGAAAGCAGGA